AAATATCACAGCTGTAATGTGTAGGTAGGCTCCTGCATGGAGAGGTTGCTCAGGCCTGGGTGTGGAAGAACAGGGTAACTGGGTAGTTTCGATGGCAGGTTCCAAAATACTTTCACCCAGCTTGCAAGTCCCTGTATCACCAACTCCATTCCTGGCAGCTGGCTTCCACTCTGTATTGTGTGTGGGTGAATGAATGAGTTCATATTTTTGTTGATCACAAAGTTCTAGGAAGAAATATCTGTGTCCCTTTCTCAGCCTGGGACAAGGAATGAATGTCTGGAGTCTACAAGGTGCAGGGTGGGCAGGACGACACAGGACCAGGGGGCGGGGGCCTTGACTGCTAGCCCAGAGCATGTTTCTTCTGTAGGTGATATAAATGCTGTTGAAACCACTGAGAAGACCACAATAGGGGTAGAATAAAACCTAGAAAGTGCAATTCCCATGTGTCCAGCAGCTAGCGTGATCATCCCCAGCAGCTGTCCCTCTGTTTTAGAGAGGCATCCCACCTCATGGCTCTCTCTCAGGAGGTGCTTTCATCTTCCCTCTTCTTTCCCCACTCACCTGGTCCCTTTGCGAAAAAAAAAAAAAAATCCCAGGCAAGCATGGCAACCAGGGTCATTGCATTGCATGCTGGTGAGGCTTATTTAAAACCATGTGAACTTCCTTTCTGGGGAATCCAGATGCCGCTCCAGGCACCATGCAGATAGCTCACGGCATCCTCCCAGCCCCCACATCCCTTCATTTCAGTTCCCGTAGCAGCCAATAATCCAAGACTGATGCACGGTCTCAGGGATGGGGACCTGGCTACAGAATGGGATGAAGTTTGTTTCGTCATCAACCTATCAGTCTCTGGAGGAAGAAGAGCATGCTGTCTATTCTGCTTTTGGAAATCCTAGCAAGAAAGCACATCACAGGCAGGGAGCACTGGTTTAATTATTTCTCAGGCACAGGGTCCCATTTCCATTCTCTTTCAGTTTGATCCTGGCAGGATTTCACTGTAAGTAGACATACAGTGAAACGAGACAGCCATTTGGAAGTCAGGGGAAATGTCCCCGTCATGGTCCCTGTGTGGTGACAAGCGACTCTCAGCTCTTCCACTGGAGAAGGGGACAGACCACGGGGGAGGCACAGAGATGGCACTGAGACTCCCCGTGGGGCAGGAAGCTGGCCAGAGCTGCTCAGATCCTTGGTTCTGATGCCAAGGTCACTCATCCTTTGTGCCTGCTGTCCCCTTGACTTCCTCACAGCCAGCACAGGTGTGGGAAACACACACTACAGCTTGGCTCCCCAACTGCTGTCCTGACACCACCAGAACCTCATGAGGTCACGTAGCTGGGAGGCCTCCCTTTCCTTGCCAGTGACCCAGGTGGGCAATCTCACAAGGTTGTCATGAAACAGCCTGTGATTGGCACCTGGCTGGATACCTGGCTCCTGGCAAGCCTGAGGAATGTCTGTCACTTCTACCAGCAGAATGAGAAATGCCATCACCACAGTCGCCCTTGTGCCAGGCTCCAAGCCCAGAGAGTGGAAGTCTCTTTTCTTGACTGAGATGGTGGCAAAGCCTGCAGGTGACTGTGAGAGTGGCAGAGCTATTTGAGGTGGGGCTATCCATCTTGGGGCCTGGCTGCCAAGGGCATTGTCCTCTTCCCCCTAAAGAGCAGAAGGCAAGCGTCCAGCTGGTAGCAGAGAGGAGAGGCTCTGCAGTGCTGGCAGCCATCCGGTGTTTGGCTGGGAACCCGTAGTATCAGAGGAGGGTGTAGATGTGGGCCACCAAGATGACATCTCCACAGCCCTTCTTCTTGATTCCTGACCCACCCCGTTCGTCGCCCTGGAGCTGCCTGCTCCGGGAGCCTTGGTCTCCCACTGTGAGCAGTTCCTCCTGAACACCTGCTGCTGGCTCACGTCTTGGAGTCCCTCTCCTCCCACTGCGGAATAGCCTCCCTCATGTTGTCCAATCCGTCAGGCAAGAGCAAATCTAATTGTAAATGCCCGCTCCCCGATCGTTTTCATTGCTGCTTTGATTTATTTTATTAGCAAACGTCTTTTGTGTGATGACAGGCTTCATTACAATGTCTATAAAAGAGAATGACTCGCTCTTATCTCCTCAAAACTAACAAGCAGAAAAGTGCATGGCGATGTGCATCAAGAAAACAATGGGGCCAGGAGAGGGAGCTGGGGCCCAAGGACCCACTGCCCAGCTGCAAAAGGGAGATGTGGGCAGACAGGGGCCCCTCTCCATTTCTGCCAGGGACTGGTTCCCTGGAGGCTGCCAGCAATGGCCTGGCCCTCCCCTGCTGCAGGCCAGAAACAGACCGACCACTAGCCACTTCTTTTTTTCTTGGCTGTTGACATTTCAGCTCACTGAGCCCTGCAAAATACAAGCCCTCATCAGTTCTGGTGGAAGAGGGAGGAGCATGGAGAGTAATCCTATGTAATAATGGCCTCCAGTTGCTCAGCATTAGCACAGATGATAGCGGTGACAAGTTTAGGTCTGTAGATTCAGACTCTTACACAAGTCTCCTAAGTCTGAAAGCATCAAAGTTCCCTCTTCTACCAAGTGGGATGAACTTCTGTGCCTGATTCCTGTCAGTTACTGGCCAAGTGTGTACCAGCCCCACATTGACATGCCTGTGCCCTTGACCGTGAATCTAGGGGGTGCATTAAGTTGAAAACCACCTTAAACTGGCCATGTCCAAGTAGAAGGGGCTGGTCTCCGTGTAGCACAACCAAATCCAGGTGTTCAAACCAGTTGCTGCCCACTCCAGGCCTGGCAGCACCCCAGTAGGCCTTCCCTCACCATGCAGCAACAACGGTGGCCCTAGAGGCCGCGATGCCTTGTCCCCTTTGTCCTCATCCCCGAGCAAAGCATGTGACATCCAGCACCACTAACTGTCCCAACAGCATCAGAAAAACCTGTGCCCTGCAGCCACAGGGTTCAGGAGGCTGGGGTACTACACCTGGGCAGGAGGTGGGGAGGGCAGCCATGGGCAGATGTCGTGGGCAGGCTGAAACAGCATGTGCCCGGTGCTGGAAGATTAGACCTGAGAAGTAACTGCAGAGATGAGGAAAGCTGCAGTTGGAAGCACTGGGGGAAAAGCACAGGGTGCAGTGCGGGGGGTGGGGCAGGTGGTGATGAGCTGCAGGTGAGAGAAACTTTTGAGAGGCAGCAAATATGGAGACCCAAAGGGTGAGTTGGAGATAACCAGGTTGTGGGGGAGGTGGAGGTGCTGGGTGTGGCAATGCAGAGAGCAAGACGCAAGTGGGCCGAGAGTAGGGGAGTGCACATGGTTGGGATGCCACTACTGTATCAGATGCACCCTGGGTGGCAGTGTGCACCCAGAGGACTCAGGATTAGCTGCCACTTTAGCAGAACTGGTACCTATCCCTGAAGGAAACTCACACCCTGAGTTGCCACCAGCCCACCCTAGGCAAGACATAAATCCAGCCAAGGCTCTCCCTCTGGGCTCCCAGCATCCCAGGAATCTGAGGACACTGTGGAGGCTTCCGGGCTCTTGACAGATCAAGGTTACCCTGGTCCCTCAGGGAAACTTCAGACTGCAGGCCAGCAAGGTCAGGGCCAAGGAAAGAAACCAGAGGTTATAGCAAAGAGCAGGATTTTGAAATAGACGGAGCATCTGCAAAAAGCAAGCTTCCCCTGCCAGGCAGAGCTGGAGACATGGCCTTGTTAGCTAATGCAAGTTTAATGCAGAGTCAAGGGAGCTGGACGGCGGCCTGGTCAACCGCCTAGGAGATACCCGAAAAAAGAACAGGGCAAGGCGTCCCCAACCTGCTCAGCACCACTCCGCCACCGGGAAGGTAGAGGGCAGCCCAGCGGCAACCTGGGCCACATCTGCCAGACAAAAGCATCACTTCCACATCAATCACTCTGTAGAGAGGAAGAGTTATTGTTATGGAATGTTGGCTCCTGATCAATATCTCCTGCTTTGAAAATAAACTTCTTGGCTTGCCCTTGACATTAATCTACCATCAGGAGCCCATTATCTCGAGACCAATGTTCTGTTCTATTGACTTGCTCGATTTTTTTTTTCTTCTCCCCCAAGATCAGGGCATAATTGCATTTCTCCAGACAGCACTTCCTCTAATTGCAGTCCCATGCATAACCCCGCTTGTGAAACCTGGAACAGAGTACATCTGGGTTGGACATGGGCACAACAGGAAGAACGAGAGCACCTGGACCCTCTTTTAGATGTGAGTGCAAGAATGGCCTGCCAGAGCCCCTGAGTCCATCAGGATGTGGAGCTGTTCTTCCTGGATGGTCAGTGCAGACCAATCAATCCCATCAGTGGGCACAAAGTCGCAGTTGCTCATACTTGCCAAGGAGTCCCACGCTGTAATTGGCCCAGCATGTGTTCAAACTCAGGACTCTTAACAATCCAGGTTTTCCTCTCTGGGAGGTGAGCGCAGGAGGAGAGACACGAGGTGCCACAGTGCAGCAAGAGCCTGACTGCAGAGAGGGTAGGGAGAAGCCGAGGGAACTGCTCTGGGAAGTCCAGCAGGAGGCCCCAGAGCCCCAGGATCTAATGCCAGAGTCAGGAGATCCACAGAGCCTGTATCTTCCCCACCACCACCATCCCCACTCATAACCCTGGCACGCATCAGTGTACTGTCACCGCTGTCTTTCCCACTCAGTTCCTGATGAGCTGTCGATGCAGGCCTGGAAGCTTCCACAGTAGCTTAGAGCTTAACGCTCTGGAGTCAGCAACCAACTGACTCAGACTTTCGTTTCTACATTTGTGAAATGAAGAAGCAATAGTGCCCACTCAACAGGCTTTCCCATGAGACTTAAGTCTGGCCCTGGTGCCATGGGCTGGTTTGACTGCCACTGTGAACTGTGCGTTCCCACACCAGGAGTTCTGTGACTGGGGCTTTAGCAAACAGCATGGGCTCATGCTCTTCCTGAAGCCACCTGGAGAGCTGGCCGCTGAGGGCAGTGAATCTGTGGCCGATGCATCATCCTCTCTTCCCCTTCTCTCGCTCAGGTGTGGATGTGTGGAGGCCGCATGGAGGACATCCCATGCTCCAGGGTGGGCCATATCTACAGGAAGTATGTGCCCTACAAGGTGCCTGCTGGAGTCAGCCTGGCCCGGGTAAGGTGGTGGCTTTCCAGGGGGCAGGGGAGAGGGGTGGGAAGACAGGGGTTGGCCCCAGGCCCCCTGGGCTCCCGCAGTTGGGTAGTCCCTAGAGTGAAGAGCTACCCCCTACTCTCCAGGTGCAATTCTCTAGAAGAGCAGATCTTTAAAACAAAATTGCTTAATAGTTAAGTGGCTTACCAACTCCTGCTTTCATTTAAAGGGAGTTCCTCCTGTCGCTGCTGCTGCTGCAGTTGTCCAGCTCTTGACCTGTAGCAACACATTTGTCACCAACAGGTGTTCATATTCATGGGCTGCAGTGTGACCTGTCAGTACAGGGGTGACAGCGCATGCTGATGGAGCCAGGAACATCACAGACGCCCCCTCCCTGTCCTCACTTTATGATGGTCTCTTTGCTCAGTGTGGACTGGGTTAACATGAGCTGTCTTCACCCACTGTGCCATGTGACTAGGGAGTTCTTCCATCCATCTCTGATTCGGCACTGAAGTGCCTTCCATTCCCCCCACCCCATCCCTGTAATTACTATCCCATGTTCTGGATGAGCTTTTTTTTTGTTGTTTTCTGTTTTTTTTTTTTTTTTTTTTTTTAATTCTGTCTTTTAACGAGACCCAGCAGTATTTGTCTTCCTGTGGCTTTTTTTCACTCAGCATGCTCTCCTCCAGTTGCACCCATTTTGCTGCAAATAACAGGATTTTGTTCTTTGATGGTGCTACAATATTCCATGGTTTGTATACACCACATTTGTTTCATCCAGTCATCTGGCAAGGGGCGCCTTGGTTGGTTCCATGTCTTGGCTATGACCAGCAGTGCCCCGGTGAGCATGGTGGAGCGCGTATCTCTTTGGTCTCATGATTTCATGTCTTTTGGACTTATACCCAGCTGAGGGCTTGCTGCATCCTACGACAGTTCTATTTCTGGTTTTCTAAGCAATCCCATACGATTTTCCTCAGTGCCTGTGCTGATTTACATTCCCACTGACAACATGTAAGAGTTCCTAAAGAGCGCTAATTCTTTCCAACTCAGCACTGCCAAGGGGATGAAGGAGATGCTGCAGTTTGCTGAAGCGTGACAGATGAGAACAACCTGAGGTGGCAGACACAGGAATATTTTCATTGTCAAGTGTTTAAATTCACACGGATTAGAAATTAATGGGTATTAGCGTAGCAAACTTGTGACTTCACAGGCGTTATTGCTCAGGATAAAGCTCAGGGAAATGTAAAGGGAGAACAGGAGTGGTTTAAAGGGACGTGCAAGTGGTAGGTGGTGGTGGGCAATGCCTGTGACTAGGTAGACGAGGTTAATGGGTATCGGTGACTTTCTCCTGTCCCCATCATCATTGCCAGAAAGTGTGTGTCAGATTAGTCCATTGCCTTAAAATGCTTTGGACTACTTTAGCCACTGACCACAAATGGAATTCTAATAGGGTAATTTTGTTTCCTTTTTTGGTATTAAATATCCGGTGAGTGGGTAGAGGGAGGGGGACATGAATAAGTTAAAGTGACCACAGAAGAAAAAAACAAAGCAGAGGGAGGGTCCCCAGAGGGTAAAGAGAGCCGCGGGAGAATTTGAGGGAAACATGCCTAGCCTCTCTCCTGCATCTCAACTCCAAATGTCAAATATGATCTGGTATCAACTGCATGTCATCTCCTATCCCATCACTGTCCCCTCCTGCCTCACCTGGCCATCTTGACACGCAGAACCTTAGCTCCCAAGTCTAAGAGAATTGTTGTCCTGTAACTTACAAGGAAAAGCACCAAGAAACTCCCAAGAGGCGCAACATTTGCCCAAGTTCCTTCTATGGGTGGCAGCTCCGCTCAGGACACCGCGGGATGCCTTGAGGTCCCGCGGTGACGGAAAGGCAAGCCGGCAGCGCCCTCTAGTGCTACAAGACTTTAATGCACTTCACCAGCCACCAGCGTTTGGAATCGCCGCTTAGTGGTGGAATGCGAAGTTGCAGCTTCCTGTGAAGGCCTGTGAAGCTGGCCTGCCTGGCATGTCTGGGGAGACTCCTGAGAAGTGTCGGCACAGTCCCTGAAAAACCCCAAGACTGTGGCTCATCCAGCTGTAAGGGACTCTGGGGACCCGTAACCCACATGACCTCTTCCTGTCCTGTGCTGTCAGATAAAAGACACCAGGACTTGAAGCATCTGTAAATTCAATGGATGTGGCAGACCTAGACCTACAAGCCTCACCCAGAGCATGGCACACGTTTGTCTATCTTCATTCTCCTTTGTTATTCCCCGTGGTGGTGACAAAGACAGTGAAACATGGAGACCCTCAGTCACTAGTGCTAGAAAGTAAACCTCGTTGAGATGTGACAGGTGCTGACATGGAGCATTCATTCCTTCGATGGTGACTGCCATCGTTAAGATCAGTGTCAGCAGTTAAGACCTGACAGCGTATTGCTAGGGCTTGCCTGAATTCCATGTCTGGGCAGTTCAGCGTGCCCTGGCATTGGCTGGCTGCGTATGCCTCTAAGCTGGGCAATAACCCCGTATCCCCCTCTGTAAGCCCTGTGACCCACCAGGGCTAATGACATGGAGCCTGGCATGATCACAGAGACGCCTGAATCAAGCCCCTATAGCCTTTAGTGGCTGTATCTTGCACAGTCTTATTAACAACCCCATCCCGGGCCCAGCGCAGTGGCCTAGCAGCTAGAGTCCTCATCTTGAACGTGCCAGGACACCATATGGGCACTGGTTCTAATCCCGGCAGCTCCACTTCCCATCCAGCTCCCTGCTTGAGGCCTGGGAAAGCAGTCAAGGATGGCCCAAAGCCTTGGGACCCTGCACCCGTGTGTTAGACCTTGAAAAGGCTCCTGGCTCTTGGCTCCTGGCTCCTGGCTCCTGGCTCCTGGCTCCTGGCACCGGATCGGTGCAGCGCTGGCCGTTGCAATCACTTGGGGAGTGAATTATTGGACGAAAGGTCTTCCTCTCTATATCTTCGCCACTCTGTATATCTGACTTTGCAATAAAAATAAATAAGTCTTTAAAAAAGAAAAAAACATCCCAGGCATTCTGTGGCATTACCTCTTGTGATGCCACCTGCTGGATCCAGGGGCAGGTAGTCTCCTGGCTCTAAGAGCCAGATTCAGGGAATCAGGCAAGCTGGTGCTGTACAAGACCCCACAACAGGCAGTGAGATAGCGGTTTGCCAGCTGGCCAGCCTGGCTTTGAGATATCAAACTTGCTAGAATCTTTCTATTCTCTGCCCCTGGGAAAGGAGCTGTAGGCAGGGCAGTGACAGGAACCCACACAAACTTGGCAAAACTGCAACGGAAACTTCTCCAAGGATCCAGCAGGTCTCTGGGACTCAGAGCAAGGGAGGTGTTAGAGTAGGGGGTAAAGCCCGTGAAAACCATGTGGGAGGTGTAAGGGGAGCTGATGTGATGTCCTTTCCTTGGCTCTGAGCAGTGAGCTGCACGAAAGTTCAAGATTGGGAGGATAGGCTAATGAGCCATGTCTGGAAGGTACAAGGATACATATCCACACAGGCACTTGGCACAGTGGTGAAGACTTGGGATGCCTGCGCTCTGTATCATAATGCCTGTGTTTGCATCCTGACTCTGCCCCCAATTCCAGGTTCCTGCTGATGTACGTACGCCCTGGAGGCAGTAAGTAATGGCCCCCGCATGGGAGACCCTGACTGAGTTTCCCCTGGCTCACAGCTTCCACCTGACACACTCTGACTGCTGGAGAACTGGGAGAATGAACGAACAGATAGGAGATACCTCTCTCTCCTGCTCTTGCTCTCACTCACTCTCTCCATCTGTCTTTCAAATGAATAATTAAAAAAAAAAACATTTAAAGGGCCGTATTAATCAAAGTAGCAATTAAAGCATGATTTAGGGTTTGGGCATCTTTTTATTCAGTTCTCTAAGCGCAATGAGCTGCCCCCGCCTCCCGTGTTGCTGGCAGAGTGGAAGGGAGACGCTAAACATGGGGAAGCAGGCTGCAACTGGAAGAGGAAACTCTACTGCTCAGTGTTGGGGTCTCCAAGCCCTGCCAGCCCCTCCCCCATCCTCTGGGCATGGTTTTCTATGTAGCACAACCCTCTGCCATGCAGGGCCTGGTGGGGAGAACCCCGTTTCTGAGCTGTTCTCCATCCCGCTGTGGCCTTGGTAGCACCCAGGGAGAAGTAGCGTCAGCAAGGAGAAGCTGGATCTTACTGGCCCCCCGCCCTGACAGCCAGCAGGTGGGAGTGCTGGGAGTTAGCCAGGCAGTAAACTGTCCCAGCATGACCTGAGTTTAGGATGGTTTCCGCATTCCAAGTGGTTGGTGGAGGAGGGGACATCAAAAGAAGAGGACTATTCTGTGACATGTGAAAACCCAGTCTCAGTGTCTATCGAGTTTTACTGGAACTAGAGCCACACTCACTGACATATGTGGTGTCTGCATCTGCTGCAGTCAGGGTTGAGAAGATACGGCCTGATGAGCCTGAGATACTTACCCTGGGGCTGTCTACGGGAAACAAGTAAGCACTGGCCGGCCCATTTCCCCTGAGTGTGATTGACTGGGGACAGCCTTGACACCCCCCACCCGCTGACTCCCCTTCTGAGGCACAGGCGGAGGGACAGATGTGTGTGTTGGGAGAGTTGTTGTGTGGCGGCCTGTGGCAGCAGCCAGAGAACAGGGATTTCTCCCTCGCCCTGGGGTTGCACTGTCGGATGTCAGCTGTTGGAGGCTCTCGCCAGGGGTGTCCACACTGCCAATGGGTTTGGGCTTTCTATCACAGTCACATCCAGGAATTCACTCTTCCTCTCCAGCTCTGTTCATAAACCGATGTGTCCTCTGCTGCCTCTACTTGTCAACAGTGTGGCTGTCATTTCCTTATTAATTATCCCTATGCGTTGTAGTAAAGGTAGCAGCAAACTTCAGCTCCCAAAGGGTTACTAAATTCCAGCTGCTGGTGGGACGTTGTGCCTTCCAGTTGCAAATTACAACTTGCTTATACCACACAGCTTGGGTGGAACTTGTAGTCAAAAATGTCAGAACTCAGGCTTAGTGCTATGGGGTAGTAGGGTAAGTCTCTGCCTATAGTACTGGCATCTCATCTGGTCACTGGTTCTGGAACCAGCTATTCCACTTCCAGTGCAGCTCCCTGCTTATGGCCTGGGGAAAGCAGCAGGAGACAGCCCAACTCCTTGGGTTCCCACACCCACGTGGGAGACAGGAAGAAGTTCCTGACTTCATTGTGGCCACTCCTTTTCTTTCTCTATAACTCTACCTTTCAAATAAAAATAAATAAAAATGTCAGAACCCACTTTATATTGGCTTCAGCAGCAGTAACAACAATAGTAAGGAATTCACTCTCATATAACTGAAAAGCCTGAGAGTTCTGACTTCAGGCCTGGCTGGATTCAGGTGCTAAAAAACAGAAAACAAACAAACAAAACAACAACAACAACAAAAACCACCCTGCTCCAAACTAGCCTTTAGTTCTGCCTCATTCTCAGCTGTGTCTTCCTTAGGCTTCCTCACATGGTGGCCATGTGGTTCAGCAGCTCTGGCTTGCTTCTTATCTAGAAGTCCAGAAACAAAGCAATTCTTCCCAATAGTTCCAGCAAAAATAGAAAGGCTAATAACATCTGTTGGTTTTCTCTTTTTTAAAGATTTATTTATTTTTATTGCAAAGTCAGATATACAGAGAGGAGGAGAGACAGAGGAAGATCTTCCATCTGTTGATTCACTCCCCAAGTGACTGCAGTGACTGAAGATGCGCCGATCCGAAACCAGCAGCCAGGAGCTTCTTCCGGGTCTCCCACGCGGGTGCAGGTCCCAAGGCTTTGGGTCGTCCTCAACTGCTTTCCCAGGCCACAAGCAGGGAGCTAGATGGGAAAGTGAGGCCACTGGGATTAGAACCAGCACCTGTATGGGATCCCGGCATGTTCAAGGAGAGGACTTTTACCCATTAGGCTACCGCGCCAGGCTCTACCTATTGGTTCTGACTGGATTGGCATAGGTCACATGCTCACAGCTAACCAATCCCTGTGCCCAGTGATGTCTGTTCTCACATTAGGCAGTCTGGGTCCTGTGTCCTTCCTGCAGCCACATGAACTGACAGTGACAAAGGGGTAGCTTCTAAAAGGACAGTTAGTAGTAGGAAATGGGCAGGCAAAGCCACAGCGGTGTGTTTACAACTCAGCTGTGAGTTGTAAAGTCCTTAAAGTACGCATGAACAATAAATGGAAATGCAGAAGGCTTTGGGGTAGGTGTCTGTCACCGTGGTTAAGATACCGCTTCGCATGTCAGCATCCCTTATGGCAGTGCCTGGGCTGGAGGCCCTGCTCTGTTTGAGGTTCCAGCCTCCTGCTGGTTCACACTCTGGGAGGAAGCAGCTAGGTCTGTGCTGCTCACTTGGGAGATTGGATTGAGTTCTTCATTCACAGCTTTTGTGGGCACTTGGGGAGTGAACCAGCAGATGGCAGCTAGCACATTTGTAGGCTCTCACTCTTTCTTTTCCTCTGTGTGTGTGTGTCTGTCTGTCTGTCTCTGTCTTTCTGCCTCCCTGCCACTTTTGAAATAAATAATTATAGAAGGCAGAAAAAAAAGTTGAATTTTTCATGAAGTGTGAAATAAGAAAAGTAGACCTCACCCTTTCTTTGCACCCCAACCCCTAGTGTCTGCGCCTCATCAAGCCTGACCCCATCTCTGCTCTCCCCTGCAGAACCTGAAGCGAGTGGCGGAAGTGTGGATGGATGAGTATGCCGAGTACATCTATCAGCGCCGGCCGGAGTACCGCCACCTCTCTGCAGGGGACGTGGTCGCCCAGAAAAAGCTCCGCAGCTCCCTCAACTGCAAGAGTTTCAAGTGGTTTATGACCCAGATCGCCTGGGACCTGCCCAAATTCTACCCACCCGTGGAGCCACCAGCCGCAGCTTGGGGGGAGGTGAGTGTGGAGGGCACGGCCAGCTGCCTGATTCGCAGGGCTAACTGTGAAATGCAAGCACAGACGCTTCATTTAGAAAACAAGGGAACAGTACTGGCAAACGTATGACTTAGGACTCTGTGCCCCTGTCTTTGGATCCTGTCCAGCATTGTTCTGTTGGCGAATTTTTTTTTATTGTTGTCTGATAAGAAAGTGAAATGTGAGATGATTAGCATGAATCTTATCTTTCGTCATCATATTATGCATTGGTAGTTTTATTTTTAAATTTTTTTCTTTAATATACATATATATTATTAATTACGTTGCATTATGTGACAGTTTCATAGGCTCTGGGGTCCCCCCCAACCCTTCCCCATACCCTCCCCCCATGGTGGATTCCTCCACCTTGTTGCTGTATTACATTTCAAATTCAGTCAAGATTCTTTCATTGCAAGAGTATACCAAGCACATATTATGCATTGGTAGTTTTAAACGCAAAGTGAGAACATAACTCCGGTTGTGAATGTGAGAAATATTTCAGATCTTAGGCACATGTGGGCATTTCTTATCAGAACAGAGACACTGCAGAAAACTCAATTCTCTTCATTTTTCTAACATGTACTCACTTATTTGAAAAGCAGAGAGAAATAGGCCAAGCCCAAGCCAGGAATGGGGAACTCCATGTGGGTTTCCTACACAGATGGCAGGAACTCACATACTTAAGCCACCCTGTGCTGCCTCCCAGGCACGTGAGCAGGAAGCTGGACGGGCAGCAGGACTTACCAAGCACTCCAGTGCTGGATGCAGGCATCCCAAACAGTGGCTTAACCCACAGCACCGTGACTCCTGCTCCGTATTTCATTTCTTGATAATGCACTAGACCTCCCAGCACGCTCCAGCTCCCTCCCTATTGGGTATGAAAAGGCTGAAAGGAGACGGAACTTGAGTGGGCCCTGGAAGAAAGGACAAAAGAGGGCTCCTAGCTCAGTCCTGTGTCTTCAAAGCCATTGCCCCTCATTGTGCATTCACAGTGCTGCTGGGAGGGAAATCCTAACCTCCCAGACCCGCCAGCACCTCCTAGTCACAGACCTCACCCACTTGCCCTGTACTCTCTTTGAGTTTCACTGGGCACCCCGTGCATTTTGGATCTACCTTGGTCCTGGATCCAGTGGATACTGTGTACAGACAGCACCACAGGGAACAGGGAACATTCTCCCAGCACAGGTCTCATGCACATTTCATTTAGCCCACTGAATTTTACTCCCAAGATATAGTTTGAGGATAAAATGGTTGATAATCTCAAGACAGAGACTGGGCAGTTGGCCTAGTGGTTGGATGCTGGTTAGGATGCCCACTTCCTATACCCAAGTCCTTGGATTTGGTACCTACCTTCAGTCTCCTGCTAAAGCAGACCCTGGGAAGCAACAGGTGACAGTTGAAGTCAGTGGGTCCCTGTCACTCACCTGGGAGGCCTGGATTGAGTTTCCACCTCCCAGCTTTGGCCCAGTTCAGTCACAGCCCTTGCAGGTGTTTAGGGAGTGAATCCATGGATGGGAGTGCATTCTCTCTGTCTCTCTGCCTCACAAACAAATATGTTTCTTTAAACACACACACACACACACACATTTCTTACATTACATGATAGCAACAGCAGAGCGTTACACTTAGCATGAGCCCTCTCGGGCGTCTAGCCCGGTGTATCTGCCTCTGATGGGAGAGGCAGACAGGCACACCATTGGCCTTGCAGGGTGTCCGAGCTGAGTCTCCAAGCTGAGGGACCCCTCACAGGTGGGGTGCTTTGGGGCTTGGAAAAGGGGAAGGAAAGAGCTGGGCTCATTCAGAAACCCTGCTGGGAGTCACAACAGGGCCTTTATTTTCTCCCTCAGCTTCCTTCTGTGTGGGCCTCACGGTATACCGGTAGCACAGTGGCTTCTAGAAGCCTCAGGCTGACAAGCCTCCAACTTGGCCAACCCAGCAGAAAATGGACCTCTTCCCTAGCTGAGGCAGCAAAGCCACAGAAGCAAGCCCGATTCTTGGGTCCTACACCGATTGCTGTGGCCACCATGGGGTAGACAGCAGTGGAAGCCGAGAGCAGGGACAGCGGGGAGCAGCAACCCAGCGGGAGCCGAAGAGTGTTGCTCTGGAGAAGGGAGGAACTGCTGTGCGGGAGAAGCCCTGCATGTGCCTTACTCAGGGCTACACAGTGCCCAGCAAGCACTCCCTTCCCCCGCACCCAGGTCTGGAAGAGGCATCCTGTCCTGGAGCAGCTGTGGTTCTTTGCCACTTCTTTGGTTTCTCCGCAGCATTAGTCCAACGTCCTCCAAGAAGCAGATGCCACAGGGCCATTAGATGTACAAGAGTAATAGGGCAAAACCCTGAGAGGGAACACTGAGGAACTGGAGGAGGCTGTGGGATAGGGAGAAAAGAAAAAAACACTAGGGAGGGAGGGTCCCAAACTGCACGGCAGCATCGCCAGGTAGTGTGGGCGGGGTTAATGGAGACCCTTCAAGCGAAATCACCTGTCAGGAGGCCCCCGCCTCCCTGGTCACGGGCTGGCACTGGGCAGGGGCAAAACAGAAGCCCAGCCTAGGGGATGCTGGACTCCCTGTAAGCAGAAGCTCTTAGCAGCCATGGAATTCCATGTCTGCCATGTCCTCTGGCTGCTCAGACCAAATAGGAACAGAACCTGTGAGGCAGCGACTATCTATGACACGGAGCACCTTGTGCGGTGGCCTGCCCCTAGCACATGCGCAGTCAGTATCTGTTAAGCCCTCCCCTACAGCCAACATCTCCATCAGAGAAGGAGACCCCTGCCATGCTGAGGGTCTCTGTGGATGGCAGGGTGGGATCCCCACCACCTCAAGCATTCATCAGCCCTGTAAGGTGGAGTGTCCCAGATCTACAGCCAAGACATGGGAGCCCCCTGACCACCTGGGGGAAAAATTCTATTCCTGAGCTCTGCTGGATCAAATCCTCAGGGAGTAGAGCTGGGAAACCCTTCTTTTTGGTGACTGCTTCCTCCAGCCCTTCCCAGCATCCTGGGACGCTGCCTGCCCTAAGCTCAGCAGTGTGTTGAGATCACTCACTGTGCACTGTGTGTCCTTTGCTGAACGGCTGGAGCCCAGGGCAAGCTGTACTAACCCGAACCACAGCTCAGCCCATCTAAGGTCTCTGCCTTGGACCTTCACCTCCAGCTGGATCCCAATGTGTACCTTAAGCCACTGCTTTTTTCTTTCTCTCAGATTCGCAATGTGGGCACCGGACTGTGTGCAGACACCAAGCACTGGGCCCTGGGCTCCCCACTGAGGCTGGAGAGCTGCATCCGGGACCGTGGGGAGGCCGCATGGAACACCATGCAGGTGAGGAGGGCTGCTAGGGGACTGGACCAGCTCCCGTGTGCCATCCGCAGCCTGCAGTGTGCAGGGATCAGAGCCAGGAGGGGGGTGGCCTTGGGTCAGGGACAAATGATAAATGGGCTGCTTGGAGATGAGTTACAGGAGACTTCCTGTAATGCCTTGAAAAGGCAGTAAATCCATCAAGCTGGGCTTCCGGGGTTACAAACGACAGACGCCCAGCCCTCATAATCTTCAGCAGAAAGCCAGAGGTGCTGGCTCGGGTCACTGGGAGAGCTTGCTGGTATCACCTGGGACTCTGCAGAGTCTGCTTCCTTCTCTGTCAGCTTCCTGTTGAAGCCAGCCATTCTCACATAGTGGCATGTGTGGCCACCAGCAGCTCCCAGTGGATAGGCATGCCCCTTCCAGGGGTTCTGGAAAAGACCTGAGGCTCTCTCACACACCAGAGAGATGAGGAAACCCTCAAGTGGTGAGAGGCTATTGGAAGTAATACCCGAGTTTATGAAAGTTACAAGATACAAAAACTGATTGTATTTCTATATTTCTGAAGAATCAGAAAATGAAATAAAAAACAAGCACCTACTATAATATATAAAATGTTATTTATAATACTTTACATATTATAGTGTATTATTATATACATACATAAATAGGTATATAATAGAGATATAAAAATTTTATACATGGAAAACTACAAAACACTGCTGATAGGAATTACAGCAAGTCAAAATAAAGGAGATATATGCCATGTTTATAGGTGGAAGGACTTGATACTAATATGAGGTTATTCCAAATATATAAATTCAACTTAATTCCAATAAACTAGTAGAGCTTTTTTTTTAAATAGGAATTGAAAACTTGGTTCTAAAATCTCTATAGAAATGAATATATAGGACCCAAAACAGCCGAAACAACTTTCCAAAAAGTGCAGACTAAAAAAGGACTAATACTGCCTGATTTCAAGATATAAAGCAACAATTACCAAGATAACATGGTGTTACCATAAAAACAATGGGACACAGTAGAGGCCAGAAATAGACCTACCCATGTAACATCTTGGGACAACTGATTTTGGGCAGAAGTATAAAGGCAGTTTGGTGAAGGAAAGATAGTCTTTTCAATAAATAGTGCTAGGAAAATGTAATATCCATTTGCAAAACAAACAAACAAAAAACACTTCAATACACTTCATATCAATTCAAAAATTAGCTCAAAGCACTCAATACAGGCCATAGAGCTAACGTAAAAACTTCAAATTAACAAGCTTTTTGATGAGAACATCAGTAGAGGTATCTGCAACCTTGGATTGAGCTCTGAGTTCTTTGATACAGCCACAAAACCACAATCCACAGAAGAAAAAGATTGATAAACTGAAAAACAACAACAGTACTATTCCCTAGAAGACATTGTTCAAAAAATTAAAAAGACTGGGAGAAAGTATATATAAAGCTTATATCTAGTAACGTCTTCTATCTGCAATACAAAAAACTCTTAAAACTCAAACATAAAAAACAAGTTTTAGAGCGCTAGCATTGTGGCGCAGTGGCTTGAGCCTCCGTCTACAATACCAGCATCCTATATGGGTACCAGTTCAAGTCCCAGCAGCTCCACTTCTGATCCAGCTCTCTGCTAACGCCCTGGGAAAGCAGTGGAAGACAGCCCAGCTGCACTGGCCCCTGCACCCGTGTAAGAAGCCTAAATAGAGTTCCAGACTCCCCTGGCTTTGACCCAACCCTGCCCTGGCTGTTTCAGCCATTTAATGAATGAATTAGTAGATAAATGCTGTCTCTCTCTTCTTTGTCACTCTGCTGTTCAAATAAATAAATCTTTTAAAAATAAACATATTAAACATACTAATGACATTAGTTGTCAGAGAACTGTAAATTCTAAGTACAATGAGACATGACTGCTTACCAGTTACATGACTGGCCAAAGGAGGGCAAGGATTTGGGTGAACTGAAGCTATATGAGGTTACTTCAGAAAGTTCATATGGAAAAGCAGATAAACAGGAAAAGTTTATATTTGTGCAAAAAGGTTTTTAAATCCAAGCATTGTGTTTTCATAATACACATTTCTCGTGAACTTTTTCAAGTGTGCTCTTTCATACATTCCTGCTGGGCATGTAAGGATACGACGACTACCACCTTAGAAAATTGTCTGGCAGTTTCTCAGAAAATTAAAGTCAGTATGCTCTGTGAGTCACCTATCTCACTCCTAGGTACTTGTCCACGAGGAAAGAAAAAAAATATATATATATACATACACACATACATATATAGACATACAAGCGCTTATACCCAAATGTCCTTAGCAGCTTTCTTCGTAATAGCCACAAGCTGGAAATGGAACAGATGTCCAAGAACAGGTAAACAAGGTGCTGCTCAGTGAGACAGAACTCAGCAGAACAAGGAAGGAGCTACTGGTAAATACTGCTGTAAGATGGATGAGTCAGCCCGATTGTATCACATACTAGAAAGCAGGAAAACAGAATACACACCATATGCTTCATTTTATTTATTTGCTTAGTTACCCACTTACTTACTCAAAAGACAGACAGACACAGAGCCTTTCACTGATTCACTCAAATGCCTGTAACAGCCAGGGGCGGACCAAGCTGAAGCCAGGAGCCAGGAACTCCATCCAGACTTCCCAGTGGATGGCAAGAACTCAAAATACACGAGCCAGTACCTGCTGCCTGCCAGAGTGTGTGCTTACAGGAAGCTGAGGCAGAGCTGGGACCAGGACCCAGGCATCATGATCCGAATGGCAGGTCCCAACTGATTCATTAACTGCTGTAGCACTTGCCTATACCACCACATGATTGTTTTTACATAAAATGCTAGGAATTGCAAACTAATCTCTGGTAGCAGAAAACAAGTACGTGGTTGCCTAGGAATATGGAGTGTGGGAGACAGGAAGAAGAGATTACTGGGAGCATGAGGATACTCTGGGGGTGATGATGATTTTATGGGTAAAAATATATGTCAAAATATATTTTATATATATTAGGCTACTGTGCTGGGCCCGGCGCAGTAGCCTAGTAGCTAAATCCTCTCCTTGAACACACCAGGATCCCGAATGGCACCGGTTCATGTCCCAGCTGCTCTACTCCCAATCAGTTCCCTGCTTGTAGCCTGGGAAAGCAGCAGAGGGTGGCCCACAGCCTTGGGACCCTGCACCTGTATGGAAGAGCTGGAAGAAGCTCCTGGCTTTGGGATCAACTCAGCCCTGGCTGTTGCAGCCATTTGGGGAGTGAACTAGTGGATGGAAGATCTTTTTGTCCTCTCTATAAGTCTGATTTGCTTTTGTAATAAAAATAAGTCTTTTATAAAACTAAAAATTAAGAAATATATATCCAATTGTGCACTTGAGAAGTGCTCAGTTTATAGTGTGCCAATTAAGTGTGATATGACGTCAGGGATCTACTTCAGGTGTGTTGGATAAGTAGGGAAAGTGGAGAAGGTAGGGCTACATCAAGTCAGCCCTGCGCTGGTAGCTTTCAAAGCTGGGTGATTAGAACAGGACTGGTCAGCACGAGGGTACTTCCAAGCAACCACAGGAACATAGAATTTAAAAATAATGTTTTCCATGAGCTTTATGAAGACTCTGCATTTCCCATAATTTAAAAAGAAGAATAAAGAAAGATGCGGACATTTGGAACAGCAGTGAAAGTGCCACTTGGGATGCCCTCATTGGACATCAGAGTGCCTGGGTTCGAGCTCTGGCTGTATTTCTGCTTCCCACTTACTTTCATCCTGGGAGGCAGTATGTGATGGCTCGAGTGCTTGAGTCCCTGCCATCTGGCCCTGCTGCACCTATGCATTAGAGGCGTGAACCAGCAGATGGAAGGTCTCTCTCTCTCTCTTTTCTTCTGACTTTCACATGAGTTTTTAAAAAGAAGACAGAAGGCAGTCCTCATCACAATGTCCTTGTGTGCACAGGTGTTCACCTTCACCTGGCGAGAAGACATCCGGCCTGGAGACCCCCAGCACACCAAGAAGTTCTGCTTCGACGCCATCTCCCACACCAGCCCCGTCACGCTCTATGACTGTCACAGCATGAAGGGCAACCAGCTGTGGAAGTACCGCACAGTAAGCCTGGATGGGGGCCAGAGGGGTGCGGGGGTGGTGATCTGCAGCCTGCTTGGAGTTTTGTTTCTGCTGAAGTGATGTAGGCTTTCCTCCTCCCAACAGTGCCCACTCACTCACCAACTCCCCAAACCTGCCATGCCCAAGTTTCCACTTGATTCAAGAGAAGTTAGAAATCCAAATGTTTACATGAAATCCTCAATTCTTAAATAATAGCAACTGAGTCCATTTTTTAAAAAAAAAAAAGAAATGAGACACGCAGACACCATGAAGATCCATGAAATTTGACTTGAGATGGGTGGTATCAGGGTCGTGGCAGTGTCAGGTGTGGGTCCTGCTGCCTCCCAATGGGCAGAACCCCATCACATGACTGCATCACTACAGGGAAGGCTGCCCAGCGTCTGGCTGTGCACCCAGCAAGAAAACCAAAAGGTCTGTGAGCAGCTGGCTGGTCACATCCTCCACTTTCTCATTGCTGCTATTACTGCTGCTATTGGGCTGCCCGGCTGATTCCCTCCCTGTTTTGTAGGACAAGACCCTGTACCACCCCGTCAGCGGCAGTTGCATGGACTGCAGTGAAAGTGACCACAGGATCTTCATGAACACCTGCAACCCTGCCTCACCCACCCAGCAGTGGCTGTTTGAACACACCAACTCAACAGTCTTGGAAAAATTCAATAGTAATTGAACCCTCCCACCCCCCTTGGCAGCTCACACAGGGTGCTTTCACAGCAGCCATGGGGCCTGCATGGGTGCCCTGGCATACTGGGTGTTGGCCAAACAATTCAAGGCAAAGAGGACTTTGGAAGCTAGAGTTCTAGGGTCCCTGAGCCCCTGAGTCATGAGAGTGGGCAGGGAGCAGGCTCTGCGTAGAGCCTGCTTCGACCCCTGCTGCCACCATGGAAAGGGAGGGCCTCCTTGGCTTTGTGATCATATCCCCTGGAGTGCTGTGCAAGAGAATGCCATGCAGCTGCAGGCTATTCAGAAATAAAGCCTGCAAAGTTGCCCGGGCCCCTTGGCATCTCTCAGGCTTGACTATGCTCTGGAAAGAGGCCTCATCTGTGGGGGTCGGGGAGGGGAGGAAGCAGACTTCAGCACCAATGCCACCCTTGTACAACACAAGGGAAAGAAGTCCTCCTCAGGGTTCTTTAGTTTCTGCCTCCCTTGCAGGCTCAGCCTCTCTTCTGTGTCTCAGATGAGTTCCAAGGCCCAACGCAAAGCCGTAAGAGCGCTCCGTGCTGAATGCTGGCCAGCCACCAGGCCTAGGATCAGGCGAGGGGCCCCAGACACTGCTTTGCAACCATGGGCTTGCAAGATGTTCTCTGTGTGTTGGAAATGCCCACAGTGCTTTCCATCTTCAAGGACAGCCCAGCCACCAGCTTTTCAAGGCTGTGGTTCAGATGACCATGGGCCCCTGGAGAAGGCCAAATAGAAGACCAGACTAGAAAAACACTGAGGTTCTCTGATCCCTGCTTCCAGTGCCCTCTCTCCATGCTGGGAAGCCTCAAGAGAGGACCGGAGGTGCTTCACCTCGCAGAGTCTGGAGGCCTCCCAGATCAACTCTGGGCAAGTGCCTAGCCTCTGAATTCAACATGGTCCTGGTTCTCATAGAATCTCCAAGTTGCTAAAGGACTGTAGAGTGCAGTCACCAACCAGTTCCCACTTTAGGGATCTGGTGTTGTGGCCTCCAGTATGAATTTCCAGAATGCTGTTACTAAGGCAGCCAGGCAGATAGGATACAGTCAAGGTGGCCCTCAGTCTAGGAGCAATCTGTGAAATCCAAGGTTGGTGCTGGGGATGAAGTCCAAGGACAGGTGTCCACTGCAAGGTCCTCAGCCAACACCTGAAGCCCTGAATGTCCTGCCATTGCCACAGCCACCACCTCATTTGCAGTGAAGAACCTCATGTCCATCTGTACCCAGCTCCGCACCAGCCCTTCCGTGGATTTTTTTTTTTTTTTTTTTTTGCTTTATTTCATGTCTAACTCCCCCAGGGTTCCCAAACAATTAGGAAACATTTCAGTAACCATCCCACCACCTCTGATTCAACAGAGGAAATCACATTCCACAACCTATGGCTTCTACCACCAGTTAGCCCCAGGAAGTGCTTGGAATCAGTATTCCAATTAGAGTTGGGTCTCTTGACTGTGTCATTTACCAGTTAAATAATACAAATCTGGGAACAGAGCCACGAACCTGCCTTCGAGATGCTGGCTAATCTTGAAGCCATCCGTGATCAAGGGAAGGGAGGGAAAACCACTCCTGACACCACCATCACATTGAACTTGAGCCTGGCAAAGGGTCACTCCCACTTCTGCCCCTAGCACAGCTCCACTCTGGATGGCTGCACCCAGGAGAGGATGCCCCTGTGCTTGTGAAGCTTGCCCGTCGCTCCCTGGCACCCTTTGCCACATGACTACTGTGTCCTTAGAAGTGACCCTCTGCAGGACAGAGTGAAAAGATGAGGCCTCTTCTGAAGTCTAGGGTAGCAAGTGTGTTGTACTATGGGGAGATGAAGTAAGAGTCATCATCCGAGAGCAATGCAGCATCAAATCAAATTTGTTAAAAAAAAAAAAAAAAAAAAGAAGAAGAAAAAAACTGTGCCTTTAAAAAAGAATGCAAACATACAGCAAATCCCTAAACTTGAACCATTTCCTAGTGCCTTGCTAGCAAACATAAAGCGGGAGGGGAGGGGAGCATTTTTGATGGCACGTGCACTTCCTGTTGGATGAGTGTGTCCTTTCTTAATGTCTGATTTCAAGCAGGAGATGTTGGCCTGGAACAGGAGCTGAGGCTGTGATGCCCACTGCGGGGTTAGGTGGTGAAGTAACACTCCCAGTTAAAGAGCTGCTGGGCAACTCGTTCAGGCTAGGAGGGCCTCAGCAGCCCTTGAGCAAAGGCCTTGCATTAACCTCATTGGGCCCCTTCTGGGGACCGTGCCTGCGATGCCCTGCCCCAACCCCTGGACTGAATGATTGTCTTGTCCCTCATCACTCAGATTAAGGCATACAGAGTTCATTGCCCACTAGTCCCCCTTTGTGGGGGCATTGCTCTAATATGACCAGGTTTCTGTGGAACAGAGGGATGGCCATAAGCTGTCCCCAACCTTTTCTCATTCTTTGGTTCTCCCTGCACAAGCTGATTTCACACCCTCAACAGGGATGGGCAGGCCCTCTGAGCACCCTGGCGTTTGTCACAGCTGAACCTAACAACAATAGAAACCAGCCTACGTAGTGGAGGAAGGGAGGACAGAGTTTTCTCAGTTCGGTGCCATTGCCCACTAATTTACAATGCTGAACAGTTTTGGGAAACCACCCGTGTTGAGGACCCGATTTCTGCTCCTACACCCAGCTGATGTGCAGTAAAACTCAGCCAGGAGTCAAAACAGAACATATGGATTTCCAAGTCCATGTTCCCATTCCCTTTTCGAACCTTACTCTGGTTTAATTCCTTTTTCTCCTTAAGAAAAAAAAAAGATGGCATCCTTGAAAATGGCCCCACATGTTTCTGCCTGCACATCTCCATTTTCTGAGTCTCTGGAGTCCCATAAGAGCAGCCAAGCACTTTCCACTCATCACTGAGGAGTCCAGATGCCTTGCTTTGGCCAAGCCTGGCTTATACATACTGGCTGAAGTTCTCTGCTTCCTATGGGCAATGCATTTTTAAGGTTTTCTGAGTTTAAATGTGGGGAAAAGGGCAAGAAGTGAAATTCTATTCTGGAATACTTTTCTGCTTTCATATGATCAAAAAAAAGAAATCATCTCAGCTCCAACTTGATATTGAGCCAAGGCTCACAGTCACCTCTGGGGTGAGAGTCAGGCCTGTGTACTGAGTGACAAAGGTCTTCTAAAATCCCTTCCCTAAATGGCTTTCCTTCAGCTATGACAGGCAACAGTGTCAGGCCCTGTGAATGGAGCTTGAAGACAGGAATCTCCCCAAGAGACCACAGGTAGAGTACGAGGGAAGTCAGATCGGGGAGGCACAAGACCGCCGGCCGCTCTTCTCCTGCCTGAAATAGTGAGCCTTTGTGAAGAACTGACATGCCATGTACAATTGTGACTGTGATTGTTGTTGAGTAAACTCCAGACTTTTTCTAAAGCGCTCTCAGCTTCCTTTTTTGTGTGTCTGCTCTCTGCCATCCCTCTCCTGTGCCCCGAGTGCCTGCTCAGTCTCCAGGCCCTCTGCTGGGTACTGCACAAATTCCCAGCAGCCGTCATTCCAGAGGGAAAGGCAGGACCTGAAACCACCCAAGTTGGGGGGCTGCAGAGGTAAATATGGCCTTGAGGGATATGCAGTGATACTTGAAACACTAGGGTCAGCAACAGCATTGCTGAGAATGACCAGGGAGTGCATCTTGGGGAGAGATGAAAGACCTGACAGAGTAAACCAGTAGGTTGTTTGAGAGAGAGAGTTCCCAGCAGAGGGGACGGCCAGTGCAAAGGCTCAGGTAGGAAGGAGCTCCGTTGTGGGAACAGCAGGTGGGTATGCTTACAGCGTGAGGTGAGGCAGTCCACCAAGATTCCCAGCCTACACCCAGGACTGGAGGAGATCAGGAAGGCAGTGTCATCATGAAACAAGCTTGACTCACATCTGAGACTCTCCTACCAGCCCCAAGAACTTGTTCCTGAGAGGCTGTGATACTACTGGGTAGTAGATTTGTCTAACATCATGGATGGAGAGACCCCCTGCAAGTCCAGCTCTGCAAAAACTTCTGTGAAATCTGGTTCCAATCCTACTTCCATGTAGGCCTGTTCTGTACAGCACAATGTCCAGTCTGTAGCCGGTCTGATGGTTCTACAGTTGAGTCTCAGTGGGGGCCTGTGGCTTGAGTATGACCATGACCCCAGTGCTGCCATTGTGGGCCCACCAGGGGGCGCTGTGCATCATATGGAGAAGGCCTGAGGAGCGAAATTCAGGCAGCGTCCCTCCCCTGCTATAGCTTTGAGTCTCAGAACAATTTCTTACAGGTGCACGCTGCCTCTGACTGCTGTTCCAAACTCTCAGTCTCGCAGATGAGAAAACTGAAGTGCTGAGAAGGCCCTGGCCCAGGGTGACTCAGTGATGAGTGGCACAGTCCGTGTTCTCAGTATTCCTGTTCCCTTGTTCTCTTAGAGTACCAGCTTATCGCTTTGTAGACGTGGGGAGAGAGTCCAGTTCTAAAGCAAAGCTTTTTGTACTCATCTCTCCCCCTCAATTATCAGAAGAATTCCCTGAAGTAGATAAGCCAAAAATGTTAGCTATATTTGTTCCATAAAAATGTATCCAGAATGCCTGCTATCTGCAGGGCACACTGCTAGAGATGGGAAAAAAAATGGTGCAAGGATAAGCAATAACAGATATATATGCTGTCCTCCTAGTGTGGGGCTAAGCAAGACATCTGTCAGATGATCATGAAAAGGAGCGTGCGATGAGAACTGTGGCAAGTGCTACGAAGAACAAGTGCATGTGGGACTGTGACATGAAACTTGATCTTTGGAGCATGCTGAATCAGCCAAGGTCTTGGCCGGGTAACAGCCTCTCACGGGGTAACAGAGCAAGTGTGGTTAAAGGGGCTATTTAAGGAGTATGGGCAAAGTGAAGCTAACCGCCAGCCAAGCCGGAAGCCCAGGAACCTGAGGACTAACAAGGGAAGCTGTTCTCACTAAGCCGACAGAGGCCAGAATTAGCGGGACCCGGGCAAGCTGGAACCAGGCCATGGTGCTCCCCAAGGGGACTTACAACTGTCAGTGGGAAACAAACCACTGCCCGCACAGGGAGGGACCGGAAAGAACACAACCCTGCCCTCTTTCCTTATCTACCTTCCAGTCATCTGCCACTTGCTGCCTGCCATGGGCTAAACTCAGTAACCCAAATCCATATGAAAAAAATGAAAGCCTTGGTTAATATAATTACCTACATGAATCCTCATGTAGACAATGAAGTTTTTCTTTTTTCTGCTTGTGACTATAAGTATGTTGATGACCATGCAATGAAGAAAAGATGTAATTTTTTGCATGATAACAGGTCAAAGGAGGAAGGGAAAAACAGAACTACAAAGGGCGAACGTGCTGTGTAGTACTGAGATGGAGTTGGTATTAAGTCAAACTACATGTGCTTAACTGAGATGTAAATTGCAAGGGTGGGCATTTTTCACAGTGGTTAAGATGCCACTTGGGATGCCCGTAGCCTGTATCAGAGTTCCTGGGTTCAAGTCTTGCCTCTAACTGATGCCAGGTTCCTGCTAATGTGCACTCTGCAAAGCAGGCGATGGCCCAGATGCTTGGGCCTCTGCCACCCAGTGGGAGACACCAGTGGACTTCTGGGCTCCTGACTGCAGCTTGGCCCACCCCCAGCTGTTGTGGCTGAGCGAGGAGTGAAGCAGCAGATGGAAGATTTCTTTCTCTCTCTCCTTTTGTCTCTCCTTGTCTCTTTGTAACTCCATCAAAAACATAAATAAATCTTTAAAAAACAAAAAAACTTTTCTTGGGGCTGGTGCCATAGCATAGTAGGCTAAACCTCCACCTGCAGCACTGGCATCCTGTATGGGCGCCAGTTCATGTCCCAGCTGCTCCACTTCCAATCCAGATCCCTGTTATAGCCTGGGAAAACAGCAGAGACCCAGAATAAGCTCCTGACTCCTGGGTTCAGAATGGCCCAGTCCATTGTGGCCATTTGGAGAGTGGACCAGAGAATGGACAATCTCTATCTCTCTCTCATTCCCTCTCTGTAAATATGCCTTTTAAATAAAAAATAAATGAATCACGAGACATTACAGAAATATAAAGCGAGTTTATAAATAAATGGCATTCATCTGCTCAATGGAATATTTTTTAGCCACAAACAATGAAGCACTGATGCACATTACAACATGAATGTACCTTGAAACTTCATGCTAAGTGAAAGCAGCCAGACACCTCTGAGGCCTCTGAGACTGTGTGATTCATTTATATAAAATGTTCAAAGTAACACAGAGACAGTGTGGCGTGGTAGTTGTCAGGAACAGAGAGGGAGAGGGTTGGGGAGTGACTGCTAACAGGCATGGGGTTTCTTTGAGAGTGATGAAAATGTTCTGGGATTAGGAAGTGTGGACAGTTATGCAGTCTTGTGAATACACGTAAGCCACTGAGTTTTGTGGTATGTGAACTTTTAAACCGTTGTGACTCGGAGCTGAAAGAGGGCCTTTGGGGAGAGATGGTGATGTTTGGCTGTTGTTCCTGCCAGGGAAAGGAAGAATGGGTTTGTACTCAGGGCTAGTTGGTTCACTGATTATATCTGTCTGTTTTTTCTAAGTTGTATTTCTTTCATTGTTTTATTATCTATAAATGTTACAGCTTTGACCTATATTTGCGTTTCATTTTGAACATAAATTTTAGGTAGCCAAATGTATTTCCCTTTGTTTTCTTTTTACTTGTTTGTTTAAGAAGTCCTATAGGGCAGGCTTTGTGGCTCAGGGCCCAAGCTAGCTCTTGGAACAGCTACACATCTTCTCTGCATGCTGGGTTCAAGTGCCGGCTTCTTCAGTTCCTATCCTGTTTCCTGCTAATTCACACGCTGGGCTCAAGTGTTTGGATCACCAGTCCCCATGTGAGAGGCCTACATGGAGTTCCTGTCCCAATCTAGGCTTTAGCCTGGCCCAGCCCTGGTGATTGCAGACATTTGGGAGCTGTCTCTGTTGTTCTTCCTTTCAAATAAATAAAAATAAAGGTACTTTAAAAAAAACCTTGCTTATTTAGGAAAAACAACTTTCAGTAGGAGAAGGGGAAGAAAGGTGCAAGGGCAGCATGCACAAAGACCTTGTGTGGAGAGCGTGGCAGGGATGCGTGAGACTGGAGCACAGAGTGGGAGAGAGAAGAACAGGAAGGCCTGCAGGGACTCCTGGGCCAAGATAAGTGATTTCTGATCTTCATTTTAAAAGCAACAGGCACCTTGAGGGGGGCTGACACTGGATGGCATGATAGCACCAGATGTGCCTTTGACTGACCTCGAATCAGGCAGCGATTTGCTCCAAATGCTGGCCACATAAGAGATCCCAGGCCTCCAAGGTAAAGCAGCTAGCCTGCAGGTGTCTCCTCTAAGTCACTGACCATGGGCAGCCAATGTCCCTCCTCCGTGGAGCAGTGGGAGGGTAGGACTGGGGCAGAGGACCGATCCCTGCCAGTCTGTGAGAGGAAAATCCCAGTTGTCTGACATGCTTGGAATGAGAGCATCGCTGTGTGCTGCCAGGTTGTTAGTGACATAGTTTTTATCAGGAAACAAACTCACAGAGACTAACAATTTACTCAAAAGTTTGAGTTCTCGTTTGCTATGTGTTTGGTAGTGAATAGGGCCTAGCGCTCCTGGATCTTCGTCAGCGCTCGCTAGGTGTTCAAAACATGGACAGTAATCTAGTTTCAGACCCATTGAGGCCTTTTCCCCTCCACTCCCAGCCTGCAGACTATCCTGTGATAGACGCTGCTCCTATATATGCTGTTTGCCTTAGAGAAAGTACCTTCCCTTCCCTGTCTAGAACTGGGAGAAGAGAGGGAGATTAAATAATGGCCCAAGGGGACTCACAGATCTGCAAATTTGCATCTATTATTTTGCAACAGCCTTGGCCTTGTGGAGGATGACTTTCACAAGTTGGGGGGGGGAGTATGGGCTGTGGGATTCCCCACCCCCACCCCAGTTCTGTTACTATTGTCTCCCACCCCAGGGCTCCTGGGCTTTTGCTATAATTGGATCCAACATTCAGTATCCAAGGCTTCCTTCCTGCAGCTGTTCACAGCCCTGCCAACCTCTGGCCTTGGGCAGCTGGCTCTTCTTTTGTTTACCCTCAGTGCCCGGGCTGCTCAACTGGGATACCAAGGGCCCACAGTTGTGCCCCAGGCAGCCAACCTTTCCTCTCTTTCTAGGTGACCTCGTCAGGGACTGGCAGGGTGACAGCACCCCCTCTTGTGATCATACTCACACACACACACACACACATGCACACACACACACACACACACACACACACACACACACACACAATGCCATGGAAACAAAAAAACACACCGTGAACTCTCAGCAAAGCAGGTTTCTTAGCAACTTCACAGCCTTTGTTCGTGAGCTACTTGGAATTGAAGTGGCGTATGA